GATCTTAATGTGTTATCATGGCTTTTTGTGCCCCTAAATCATACCCAGATTTTCCTTCTTAATCTCCCAGGTCTTCAAAGCTTGATTGTGTGTAACCACGGCTCTCTAAGCTAGCTCAGATTTAGTTTGTTTTTTTTGTTTTGTTTTGTTTTTTAGTACCAGGGATCGAACTCAGGTCCTTGCGCTTCCACAGCAGGAGGCAAAACCACTGAGCTAAATCCCTGGCCCATCAGATTTACTTTGGAGTATGGTGTAAGGAAGAAATCAAACTACTACAATTTTTTTGTTTTTGTTTTTCAAAATGGATAGCAGATCGGCCCAATTTTGTTTTGACACCCTTTCTTGCTGATTCAAAATGGCACTTGAAGGGCCAGGGATTTAGCTCAGTGGTTCTTCGGCTTGGCTCACAAACGCAAGGTCCCGAGTTCGATCCCTGGTACCAAAACCACCTGCTGCGCAAGCACAAGGACCCAAGTTTGATCCCCAGTACCAAAAAAAAAAGTCACTTGAATCAATTTATAAATTTATAGATACTGCAAGTCTGTTTCATTGATTTGCCTCTTCCTTAACCAACAACTCCAAGTGGTATACTTTTGCTAAGTTTAGGTCAATCCAACCTTTTTCTCTTTTTATTTTTTTTCAGGATTTTTTAGGCTGCTTTTGTTTTTAGGGGAATTTTGAGAATCCTTTTACAATTCACACAAATACTATTGGATGATACGGTGTTAATTTCCTGCGGCCACCATAACAAATCACCAAAACATGATAGCTTACAGCAACAGAAATGTAGTTTCTCACAATTCTGGAAGCTGGAAACCTGAAATCTGGTGAGGCCACACTCCCTCTGATGGCTTTAGGAGAGAACTTGTGCTTTGCCTCTTCCAGCTTCCCGTGGCTGCCCCACATTCCTTGGCTTGTAGCCCTGTCACCGAACTCTGCCTTCCTCTGCATAGCTTTCTCCTGTGTGTATTGCTAGTCTTTGTCTCCATCTCCCTTCTCTCTATACTGTCACTTGTGTGATAGCATTAGGACCCACCAGAGTAATCCATGGTAATCTCTTCATCTCACTGTCTTTGTCTTAATCATTATCTGAAAAGATTTTCCAAAGGTATTTGAAAGTTTCAAGAAGTTGCACCTGAGGTCTCTGGGTGGCATTATGCAGCCTGTCAGGGGTGGTACTTGGGGTTTCACTGAGTATGTAGATGACCTTAGTGGAGAGCAAGCATCTTCGGTGATAAATCTCCTGGTCTGAGGCTCAGCGTCCTCTCCAAGGTGCAGGCTGCCTTGTGAGTGGGCACATCCACTCGTGTGTATGTAAAATTTAGGCTTTGCTGACATGCTGGAAGTTTCCTTCTGTGTTCATAGGGTTTCCTTATGATTGAGGTGTCTTCTTGCTTTATTGTCTCCTTAGATTGCATGTTTGACTGTTTGATGATAGTATCGTCTTTTGTCATTTTATTTTAATATAATTTTAAATTTTCACTAAATGCAATACATGTTATTTCAAGAAACTATTATTCATAGGCCATTTCCTAATGTGAAACTGAAAGAACTAAAAGCTGAGTTTCATCAGTCTTTTGAGTATTTTACAGTTATCGTCTGCCAGTCATGTATGTGTATTTGTCCTCCTTTGAGCTGTAAGTGTGCATTTCCTCATCTTAAATCATTACCGCATCCCTAGAACAGGCCCTACTGAATTATGGTGTCTTATTCTCTAAATTTTGTGGGGTTTGGGGGGGGGGGGTTGGTACCAGGGATTGAACTCTGGTCCTTGTGCTTGCACAGCAGGTGGCAAAACCACTGAGCTAAATCCCCGGCCCTAAATTTTGTATTTTATTGGGCTGGTGTTTTGTGTAAAATTTTACATGTTTGTAAAATGGGCTGTAGTCAATAATCTTTTCTCCGTAGCATCCATTCATTGTTTTGGAGACACAAAACAGTGCCCTTGTTTCCCTCTGGGGACCCTCTTTTCCCCCATACAGGCCCTGTGTTTTGGATAGACCAATTCAGCAGCTGCATGGGTGGATGCTGGTTGGCTGTGCCTCAGATGTGTTGTGTCCCCTTAGGCCTTTGACTACAGTTGTTGGTCCCCTAATGGGCTCAGAACCCAATTACTGCTAGGGAGATACAAAAATAATTTGTGAGGCCCCTGTGGGACAAAGAAAGTCTTACTTCCTTGGGAGCTACCAGAAGATATAATTATTGCCAGTTGTTAACACTGTTCTTGTTTCAGAACCAGGAAAATAATAACCTGTATCATTGTGTGTGTGCGCTCATGTTCTTTGTCAAACTAAAACTTCAATTGCTTTTTTCAGAGAAAAACTGATTTTTTTTTTTTTTTTTTATTACTGGGGATCGAACTCGGGACCTTGCACTTGCGAGGCAGGCAGCAGCACCACTGAGCTAAATCCTCAGCCCCTGATTTTGGTTTTGATTGACCAACTCAACTGTATTTCACCAATTCTTTCATTAACACATTCCTGCCAGCTTGAACCACTGGTGGTATATGCATGACTGTGCCATCAGGCAGCTTGTATCACTGGTGGTACAAATGGATCTAATCTCTTTTATTGGTCTTTTTACTAATAAAATTAATAAAATGTTGCCTGATGGGACAGTCATGCATATACCACCAGTGGTCCAAGCCACTCAGCAGTGAGATGTAAGAATAACAGCCCCATCGTGAATGTGTTCATTCCTTCTCCTTTCTTTGGTTTTTACTCTTCAATCTTGCCTGGAATGCTCAGTTTATTTATCCTCATTCTTTCCTGTAATAAAATTTACAAGTTTGGCTCACCCTCTGACTACCACTTTAACAGTGTCCTGGAGACTTTGATAAAGTGTTCTCTGCTCTTTTTCTTCCTAAAATCTTTTTGTTAGGAAAACTTTGGAACACTCCAAAAACAGAAGAGAATAATATCTCAGATGCCTATTACTCAGCTTTAACAGTTACTAACATTTTACAGTTTTGTTTTATATATCCCTACTCAGTCCCCATATGTTGTATTTTTTCGTTTGAATATTTTTAAGCAAATCTCAGTTTTGTTTCCTCTAAAAACATTAGTTTGCATCTTTAGTAGTTATGAACTTTAAAAAAATCATAATCACAATACCATTATTGTACCTAACAAATTAACTATACTTTATTTTTCAGTACCGGAGATTGAACTCAGGACCTTGCACTTGTGAAGCAGGTGCAGTGCCACTGGGCTAAATCCCTGGCCCACTATACTTTCTTTTTTTTTTGGTACTGGGGGTCAAACTCGGGTCCTTGTGCTTGGGCAGCAAGCGGCAAAACCACTAAGCTAAATCCCCACCCCTATACTTTCTTAATATCATCTAATATTTATTCTACTCGGTTTTATCCAAATGTCACAAAATATTTTTATATTTGCTTTACATGAAAATCTAAAGGTATCCATGTTGCATTTGGTTTAAGCCTTGTAAGTTCCTTTGAAAATCTTTAACAAATCCTCCCTTTTAAAATTTGTCTTTAACATGATTTATTTATGAAAGCAATTAGGCATCTGTGCTGTAGGATATCTGCATTCTGGATTTGGTTGAGTTGTGGTGTTCTTCAGCATGCTTCTCTGATCCTCATTTCCAGTGAATTGACCGTTGGGTCGAGACACTTTTTTGTTTCAAGTTAGATTTCAGGGGCAGAGAAAGCACCAAAAGTGTTTGAAAGATGGTGCTGACTATCTCACTCTGATTCACAAGGTCTGCTGTTAGGAGGGTTCAGTGGGTACAGTGTCAGCCTCTGATTCCATGCTTCCTAGGGTTCAATATCAAGCAGTCATCTGATGGGTTTGAATCTTTTTTCTTTTTAGCATTGAGAACTGAACCCATGTACTAGGCAAGGCCAACTGCTGATGCTACATCTCAGCCTACTAACAGCCATTTTGCCTGTTGCTTGGATCCATTCTGACATCAGTGTATTAATTGCCTATTGCAGTTGTTCGAGTGTGGCTGAAATCACTGTTGCTGGGCTGAGGTCAGTGTCACCAGGACTGGCTTCATGAAACTCTAGCGGATATCTTTGTCCTCACCTTTTACAATTTACGGAGTCCATTATTTTGCTGTGCCCTACCTCCATCCTTAAAGCACATGATCTAAGGGACACAGGACATTTGTGACTACCTTTAAGGACCACCCCAAAGTCTAAGGTAATCTGTCCATCTCAAGATTTTTCATTCATCTGTAACATTTACAAGTTCTAGGAATTAGGATTTGGGTATCTTTGGGGGCCACTGTTCAGTTTACAGTTGGCAATTGCAAGGTGCAGATTTTTTAATTCTATTTTTACATTTATTAGTTGGTGTTCATATATGAAGAAGGTTTCACTTGTTAATTTGGTTATCCTGACATATGGTTCCTACTAGAGGGAAAGGAGAAATTATTTCTTTCTTTCTCAGTGTTTAGAGTGCATTGGGACTAGAAGCTTTCAAAGGTAAAATGTATTTTTGTAGCTCTTACCCCTCCCCCACCCCCCATGTGTGCTAGAAGTACAATGAACGTGTTGGTATGTACATAGCTGTGTTTCGGCCCATTGAAGCTGTCTTGCGGGACTCATGCTCCCAGGTTGACTTCCCTGTTCCTTGGTCTGTGGCTGCTTCTGTACTTTTGTCACAGCAGGCCTGTCCTGTCCATAGCTGCTCAGGCTAGAGTTCGCTGTGTCCCCAAGGAGCCTTGTGGAAATGGAGATGGCCATCACAGTCTGTGCCCGCGGGGTGCAAGCAGCCATAGGGATGCCCCACATTTAAGAGAAAAAAGGAATCATGGGCACGTTTTTTATTCAGATCAAAATTTACAGGTATTTCACTTCCGTCTGTATGTTTTTCTTATACTGAAAATCTTAGTTTTTCATGATATAATCTTGGTTATGAAGCCACTTTAGAGGACAGTAATCATGAAGGGAAGTGTGCAGATCGTTAGTGGGTAGAATTCAGTGAATTTTCATCTGCTGAACCTACCCATGTAACAGTAAGGAAGCAGGCATATTTCAGCTTTAGTATTTATTTCTAGAGTTTCTTCTTCCCCAATTTACATGGTTCTAAATGCAAAGCTACAAATAACATTTCAGATGAGCTTGGCTTCCCTCTGTGTACCCCTCCCTCCCTTTGTCTCTTTCCCTGTCGTTTCCTTCTGTTGATTCTTTTTGAAAATATAAACACACACATGTCCCTTGGCAGTTTTGACTCTTACAGAAAGCAGCGAGCATAGTCTGCAGCTGCTTTCTCTGACCATGTGTCCTGTAGAGCACACACAGGAGCGTGAGATGTTCTCTGCCTGTTGTGTGATCCGAGCATGGTTTATCCAGCCACCCCTTCAAGCTTTTTAGCTCTGTTACTCACTCTTGGCTCTTGCCCTCCTAAAGTTCATTCCTCCTCCTCGAGCTAGATCACCTCTTTATCACATGCTCCCCCGAGCACTCTCACCCACCTGGCGCCTGATGCCTGCCTCAGGTTGCTTCGGAGGGCACACCTGCCTGCCTTGTTGCTGATCCTCCCTCTGCTCAGATCCTGCTTCCCTCCTTGGCTCCCTTTGGAGCCTTCAGGAAGTGCCTGCATCATCTTACCCTCTTTGTGTGGTCTTGGTTTTCAGGACTTGGTTTACAGGACAGCAGTTTGTTCTTGTTTTACCTATCTTGCTCACTTGGCAGATCAAACATTCCAAGTTCCTGCTCTCCAGTTGCATACTGGTTTTTCTCTTACATGGTGTCCTAATCTGTATTTCAACTGTCTAACTCAGGATAGAGGAAAACACCTCTGCTTTGTTCTAGATATTGCACCAGTATACCTACAGCTTAATGCTGAATTAGCGCTTTGTGGCGTGGCGACAGCTAAATCATGAAGGGTTTCCAGGAAGTCCTTAAATCCAGAAGGGAAATGTACTCTCTGAGCGTAAAACCACAGAAAGATAGTACTGGAAGAGATGAGGCAGTCCCAGCAGCTCCTTTGAGAAATGCAGAAACAGTCTGCTGAAGTAGGTGCTGTGCCCAGTATCACCAAGCAGCTGGCACCCTCATTGCTATGTGCTGTATACCCTGAAGAGGAGAGAACACAAACACTTGTTTTTGTGATGTTTATTTCCTCCTTTTTAGAAGACTATTATATTCCTATTTGGATGGGACTTAGTCCCAAGATTAATCAAATTCCTAAGTACTTCCGCCCATGGCTTGAGCTAGCTCTGCATCCATAACAAGGTGTTGTTTTGGGGTGTTTTTTTATAATCATGAGGTAAGCTAAATCTAGCTCATAGAACTTTGTAGGAAGAAAATGTAAATTTTAGGAATTGAAACAACCTGTGAGTATAAATTGTTGCCCTTGGCCAAACTTCACATTATTTTGTTTCTTATAGTTCAGTGGGATTTATAGTAGGAGGATTAAAGGTAGGTACTTCCTTAATTGTAGAACAGAGGGAGAGCCCTTCCATCCCCACCCTGCCCTTGCTGTCCTTCTCCCAGAAACTACATTTGTGGCAGTTAGGGTGGCGTGTCAACATGATTAGCTTTGGGATTTGCCCAAGAGATTGGCAAACCTCACTTTTGGGTATGAAAAGCAGGGTCATGAAAGCGTGGCCTTAGGGTCTAAGCAGCTTCCCTCCACCATGCTCTTTGCCATGATGTTCTTGGCCTAGAGTCAGCTGACCATGGAGTGAATACCCTAAAACGTGAGTGAAGTAAACCTCTCTGCCTTTAAGTTATGGGTGTAGGGTATTGTGTCCATCAACAGGAAATCTGACTGATGCACCAGGATAGCTGATGGGAGAGGGGCTTCCCTGGGACCCAGGCCCATGGTGAGCAGTGTGTGTCCAGAGTTGCTGTGATGCCCTCTCTGCAGTTCAGAATAGTTCCCATGGCATTCGTAGCTCAGAATGGTGGAGGAGCCCCTGAGAAGACGTGTGAGGAGGGTGCCTTCATCACTTTCCGGTCACTGGGACACAATACCAGACACCCACAACGTAAAGGAGGAAAGGTTTATTTCGGCTCACGTTTTAGAAGTTTCGGTTCATAGCTGCTGCTTCTAGGGCAGAAGTGACAAGAGGGAGCCCCTGGACAGAGGAAAGCTGCTCACAGTGGTGACATCCTGGCAGAAGAGAATGGGAAGGAGCTGGGAAGGAGACACACCCCGCCAGGCCATGCCCCCAATGACGCCTCTTCTGACAGGAACCCCACGTCCTAACATCACATTTGGCCACAGAGTCCCCAGTTCAGTAACCTTCCACAAGCCCCACCTCTTAGCGCATGAGGCTTGGCCAGGGCCTTCAGATATAAACTGTAACAGCAAGTGATCACCGTGCAGTCCCCTCGGGTAGGCAGCAGCTCTGCTCGCTGGTTCCTGGGGCAGCTCACACCCCGGGTTCTCTATCCCAAGGTAAGGTGTGTCTCAGCAGGCCACTCTGTTGTTCCTGGCATTTCAGCCGGACAGAAGAAGCCCTCGCTGCTCTCCAGGTTTTCAGAGACAGCTGTGATACCTGCCCATGGTTCATGGGTTAGAGTCAAGTCACATCCTTCTGTGGTCACCAGTCCCTCTCAAGAAATCAACAAAAACACTGAGTTCTTGCTGAACACTCAGTCTGGTGAGCACCTGAGCAAAGGTACCCTGAGCCTGCCTCTCCCTGATGCAGGGCTGCTTCTGCTGAAGCACCTCTCCTCCTGAGTGTGAAGTGTTTGGCAGCCATGTTTGTGTGCCCATTCAAATACTTTTTTGGTGGGCAGTGTATGGTGTTACCTGTGTGCTACCTTCTCAGGCCCATGGCCTGCTGCCTCCCTTACAAGTCTCTTGTTCAGCGTTGCTCTGGACATGGCTCTGCACTCCCTGTCCTCATCAGCTTCCCGTGACTGCATTGCACTTCCAGATGTCAGGATCTACAAATGCACACCTGTCTCGGACACAGCTGGTGGTGAAGTGTCCAAAACAGCTGCCTCTTTCTTGTTGAGTGGCACTGGTGTAAGGATGAAGTTCTCTCACCTGACCTGTAGTTAAGACTGACATTTCCTCGCTTGCTGAATGTCTGATAGATAGCTGAGGCCCCAGGGCTCCCACTTGAAATGGGTCTGCTAGTTTGGATCTGCTTATTCCTTGTGAAAACACAATTTTTTCCCAGTACTGAGGATTGAACCCAGGGCCTCCTGCACACTAGGGAAGTGCTCTTACCACTGAGCTTCATCCCCACCCAGGGTCTGCTTATTCTTTTGTCGGGGGTGGGGTGGGGGGGCTGTGCAGGGATCAAACTCGGGACCTTGCACTTGCAAGGCAGGCGGCAGAACCACTGAGCTAAATCCCCGGCCCTGCTTCTTCTTATATAAATCAAATTTACAATACATCCTGGGGTTTTCAGTATTCATGTAAGTGGATCAAGAACTGAGAAACTTGCACAAGGACCTCAGTTCTATCCCCGGTACCAAAAAAAAAAAAAAAAGGAATTGAGAAATTTGAGCCAGTTGTGTGTGATGGCACACACCTTTAATCCCAGCACTCAGGAAGCTAAGGCAGGAGTATAACTGAGAGTTGGAGGCCAGCTTAGGGTACATAATGAGTTCAAGGCCAGCCTAGAATAAATAGACCCTGTCTCAAAAAAATTAAGAAATTTATAATTAGAATGTAGAATTTTCTAAGAGCTTAAAGATCTTTCTTCCCAAATCACAAGTTTTAAAGTTCTTCCTGAAGATTTCAGTATGGTAAACAATATGCAGAAACATTTCACTCATTTCATTATTTTGTACTAGTTTTATTGTGTGGTGCTGGGAGTTGATCCCAGGGCCTTGCACATTCTGGGCAAGCAGTGTACCACTGAACTATGTGGTTACCTTTAACAAGCAGGTTTATTCTGACAGGTGACATATAAAGTCTGGTTCATTCTATTTTTCATTTGCATTTTCTTTTATGCAGATTGTTTCATGGATTTCTTTGAAAGCCCATTTATATCTTCTGCTCATTTTTTTCATGGATTCTCAAGAGTCCTTCCAAGAAACACTCTAAGCTCAGCTCGTTTACCTCTTCCTTGGGAACCCTGTGCCCCAAGTGTGCAGAAAGGGAGATACTGTCACAACTGAGAGGAGCAGCATTTTGTATTCTTCCCTTAATGGAAACCTACTTGTTATAAACAAAAGGAAGTTTATTATTAAGGGAAGAGCCTCCTTTGTCAGATGTTTTGGCCTTGGTTTGAAAGAATAATCACTCTATAGCACTGCCGCTGGATAAAACTATAATATTGAGCCACGTAAATCATTTAAAACTTTAGTTTGTTTTTTGTTTTTTCTTTTGGTACCGAGAATTGTCGAGGCAGGGATGGCGCCACTGAGCTAAATCCACCCCACCTTTAAAATTTTTGTATCTGCCTTAAAATATCAAAAGAAATAAGTAACATTACTATGTATTTTGTTTCACCAAATGTTATTTTGTGACAATTTGTAATCGATATAAAAGTGGTTAAGATGGCTTACATTGTGTTTTGTGTTGGGTCATTCAACCTGGTGTGCATTTGGACTCGGGACCTTGTACTTGCGAGACAGGTGGCAGAACCACTGAGCTAAATCCCTGGCCCACCCCATCTCTTTAAAAAAAACATAAGGTGCCGGGGATTTAGCTCAGTGGTTTTGCCACCTGCTGTGCAAGAGCAAGGACCTGAGTTCAATCCCTGGTACCAAAAAATAAAAATAAAAAGATGTAATAGCTGAGCATTGTGGTGCAAGTCTGTAATCCCAACACGTGGATGGGGAAACTGAGGCAGGAGGCTCTCCACAAGTTCAAAGCCATCCTGTACTAAATAGGGACACCCTGCCTCAAAAACAAAACAAAAAGACATATTCATCTGACAAATTCTTGAATAGGCTCTATATAAATATTCTTTACTCAGCTGCATAAATAGATGCTGGTTATTTTGGTATTCATAAGATGAATGTTGTAGAGTGCTACATTAAATGAATTCAGTTAGTGGAATTAAATGCTAGCATTCCCAAACAACAGGCTACCTACTGTAGATCACTTTCCTTTAGATGTTGCTGTAACTCATGGGGAAAGCCAACAGAGTTTACAAATGAGAAATGTAGACATTGAGAGTTTCAGCACTTAGTGAGGGTGACCCAAATTATATCTGAGTAAGATTCCAAACTGAAGAATCTTGCAGATTTGATGCCCCTTGTGCAGTCTGTTGGCACTAGTGGTGTCCACAATGACTTAGTTAACACAGGTCACATATTTTCACATTACCTAGAAGCACATCCCCTAAGAAATGTCAGAGTAACAGTGTCATTGAAGAAAACAGTATGCTACTCTCTATCACTTCCTGAAAAGAGGTGAAACTGACAGAATTAGTGGAAAAAGACAATGTGAAGGTTGGTGCACACCTGTTATCCCAGTACTCTGGGAAGCTGAGGCAATAGGATCACAAATTTAGGCCCAGCCTGGGCAACTGAGAAACTTATTGAAACCCTGGTCTCCCAAAATATAAAAATAAGGGAAGAGGGCGATGTAGCTCAGTGCAGATACCCTGGGTTCAATCCTCAGTACCACCAAAGGGGTGGGGCCAATATCAGGGGTGAAAACATTTTTCCTGACCTGCTCACCGCTGTCGGTGTGGGAGGCTGCACTGTGCCGAACATTCCCAGCCTTTACCACTGACCGCAAGTGTGTTTTGATGCGGATTAGCTTACACTCTCCTGCTGGCCACCTGTCCTGTCTTACTGGGGTGTTTGTTTTTGTTTACTGAGACAGGGTCTCACTGTGTAGTGCTGCAGGCTGGCCCTGAACTCACATGATCTTCCTGCCTCAGCCTCAAGAGTGCTGGGATTATAGGCATGTGCCACCACACCCAGCTGTTTGGTCTAGAATTTCTCAGGTACTTTTCTCCCAGTATTTATTTGCCATTTTTATCTTTTCTTCTGGAACTCACATTAGGCATGTGTTGGACTGGCTTATTCTCTATTCCATGGTTCTTAACCTTCGCTCATTTGTTCTCGTTTTTTTTTTGTTTTTTTTTTGGTACCGTGTTCAAACTCGGGTCCTTGCACTTGCGTAGGAGACAGTGAAACTACTGAGCTAAATTCCCGGGCCTGTTCTCTTGATTTTAGTGCCACCTTTCTGTGCCTCTCTTCTCTTGAAATCATCTCTCATAATTGTCATCTAAAGTTCTTGGAAATAATCCTGTTTCATTTATCTTTTAAAAAGTATGTGTGTGTGTGTGCACGCGCGCGTGTGCTTGTTATGCTGGGGTGGACTCCAGGGCTCCACACATGCTGGACCAGTGGAGTACCACTGAGCTGCGCTTTGTTTAGCCTCTACGGTGCAGGTTGGTGTGGTTCTTGGGTTTTGGGTTTTTTGTTGTTGTTGTTGATTTGTTGTTGTTCTTTGTTTTGGTACCGGGGATCGAACTCGGGACCTTGTGCTTTCGAGGCTGGAAGCAGAACCACTGAGCTAAATCCCTGGCCCCTCGATGTGGTTCTTTTTAGCCTGGTGTGAGGTTTATTCCTGAATGGGCCTTTCTGGGTTTTTTCATTTCTCAGTTTGGGCTAGAGGTTCCTGGTCCAAAGGAGGGGTAGGAATTTGAGTTCTAGTCCAGAGTTCCTTGCTCTTCAGAGAGGCTCTCACCTCCCTCCACAGTGATGGGATTTTCTTTTCTTTTTTCTTGGGATGGGTGTGTGTCTCTGACCCAGCATCTTCCCTTGAGGAGACCCAAAGCTGCTTCCTTCCCTTGAAGGATGAAAACCCACATGTCACAGACCTGTGTGACCTTTGGAGGCAGCCAGAGAGTTTGACATTATCTGGCCTGTTACTAGCATGGAAGTCTTAAGTCTGCCTCTCTGAAATATTGGTTTCAGTGTACTAAAGCAAGCTGGAAATAAAAGCGGGTCGTAATTAGTAGTACAGAAGCTTCCTGTGGTGTTTTATAGCACAGATTTAGCCCTTGATTTTAGAACCTCTTTTGTTAACTTTTTGTTTTGTTTTTTAACACACTCTTGAGTTCTCCTGTGTACCAGGCAATATACCAGGTCCTACGGTGTTGACTTTCTAGCGCCACTGAAATCCCTCCACAGTCGACCTGTTGACTGTTCTGAATAGGAACTTCCTCATCTCCCTCTCCACGGTGCTGAGCCCTCAAAACAAAAGGGCAACAAAAACCGCAGTTGTTCCAGTGGCTAGTCGGGTAATCTCCCGGGAAAGACCCCCTGCAGACCAGAGTAATAACCCAGGAGGGAGTGCTGAGCCTTCCTTGGGGCTCCAGGAGCCTCTCCACCTGCTCAGTTACCATGCTGGCGACGCTGAGCGCTGCTCTCACGGAGATGCCCTTGGCTCTTCTGCTTCAAGCAGTGGGTCTTCTCCGCCCTCAGTGACTTCGCTCTTCGAGTTATCAGGAGGTGCTGTGGCGTTCCTGCCAGCTGGGCCTCTGGACCCTGACCTCAGCGTCGTAATGTTTCCTACCCAACACCCTGCCTGCCTGTCTAGGGCACCTCACACTTTCCACTCGGCATCAAACTGCTCTGCCTCACTTTTCTTTAATGTCCCCAGCTCCTCCCAGCCGCTCAGGCCAAGAGCCTCTTTGCCTTTGTTAATGTCCAACATGGACCACACCTGTTAATAAGGGACCTCTTGGGCCGGGGATATACCGCAGTGGTTTCGCCGTCTGCTGCGCAAGCGCAAGGACCAGAGTTCGATCCCGGTACCATAAATAAATAAATAAATAAATAAATAAATAAATAAATAAATAAATAAGGGACCTCTCCGTGTTACCTTCCAACCATATATCAAGCTTGGCCACGTCTGTCCACTGCTGCCATCTCTCAGGCACGCCCTTGTAGCTTTAGACTGGACAAACCCCACGAGCTTCCCTCATGAGAAGCAGCAGTCTCAGGCTGCAGGCTGTGCCGCCTGTCTGGCGGAGGTCGGCCTGGGCGCGCTCTCTACGGATTTCTCGGGTTGCTGGCCCACTGGGGAGGAAGCCCCGAGGTCAGCATGTGCTCTGTCCACTCCAGGTGCACTCCCAGCCTTCGCCTGCTCGTAGAGATGGAGTCCAGTAGCTGAGGATTTTCAGAGAAGTGCGGGTCAGAGGAACAGGGCCGTGCTTCCCCCGGGAGAGGCTTTAGGCTAGTGCCACCCCTCGCCCAGTTGCGCGCAGCAAGTGGCTGGCCCGGCTTTGGCGCGACGTCCTTTCAGGTCCCATTTCTCTTGGGACGCTGGCGTCTGGAGCAGCGCCCCTCCCACGCCTTCGATGTGGCTCCTGCCCGGAGCCAACTTCGCGGCCACAACTCCAGCCACCAGGCCGCGGAGCGGGAGGCCCGGCCGGGACCCCGGCTGGGGCGGGCGGGGCGGGCGCGGCCGGTCTGACGTGTCTCGGCGGGATTGGAGCCGCCGCCCTATATAGTCGCGGCGGCACGGGCGCCGAGCCTTGGAGCCCAGCTTCTCCCGCGCGGCGCAGTGTGGTGTGGCGTGGCGTGGCGAGGGAGCGGACGGACTCGGGACGCTGCACCCACGAGTGAGCGCGGGGCGGGCGTCGTGGGCCGGGGCGGTGCTCGGCTCTCCCGGCCGCCAGTCCCCTGCCGGACTCCTTGGGCGGGGGCCGCTACGTGTCACTCCGCGCATGGCCGCGACGTGCAGGCGCAGAAACTTTCCCAAGTCTGCGCCGCAGGCCGGCGGTCGGTTGGCCCGTCCCCTCCCGTCCGGTCAGGTCTGGTTCCGTCCGGTCCTGTCCGCAGCTCCGGCGGCTCGGTGGGGGAGGGGCGGCGACCTGGCCAGGTTGGTGACGTGGGCGTCTGAGCGCCCCTCCCCCCGCCGAGCGCTCTGCGGTCCCGGTCCCGGGCGCCCAGGGTCCTCACGCTGCAGTCGAACCTCCGGCCCCGTGGGCCAGGGTCGGAACCGGGCCGGGCCTGCCGCACCTCCACCTGCCACTTAGCGTAGTGCGAGCAGCGGCTGGCTCTTCGGCCCGAGTGCGACTTGGACCAACCCCAGGGTCCGCGGATGAAAAACACATTACGGAAAAATACCGAATTTGGATGAAAAGCGGGGAGGCAGAGTGGGCGGCTGTCCCTTTAAGCCTGTCCCCGCCCGCGGGCGCTCGTGGCTGTGGGAGGGCCGTGCTGAGGTGGCATCTGCGAAAGTTCCTCCGCAGGCCGGTCCAACTCCTAGAGCTTTGGGCCTCTCAGCGCCCCGCGCCGAGCCCGACACCCTCGGAGTCCGACTTGCTCTCTTTTCTGTGAGCAGGGTTAGATTTCACCCTGCAGTTTGTAGTGCTGAGTACTTTGAAAAAAAAGTTCCTTGCAGGATTTCTGTGAGCACGAAGGTAAGCAACTTTAACTTTGAAGAGACACCTGGGTCTCAGCCGGTCTGGCCTGGTATGCAGAGCCCTGGAGAGTTTCAAACCGGTCTGGCACAGAAGTCATCCTCTCTGCAGGCTGTGCCCCTTGTGCAGATAGTTGCCAAAGCTTAGAAAGGAATCAAATTAAATACTTGCTTGTGCAGCAGTACAAAAGTTGAATTCACTTCGGGCCCTTTGAGCGTCCACCTCTCAGCACCAGGCCTCCACTCTCACAGCTGTCACAACCTCGCTTTTCTCTGCCGTAGGACTCCTGGTGGCCCGTTCTTGAGGTAGAAGAGGAGGCTGTTGGCTTTTACTTTACCTTCTTCCTTCAGTTCTTGTTCTGTTGGCTGCTTGGTTATATATTAAGATACTACTCTGTCTCCCCCGTAGACGTTTACACACTGGAAAACAAAACCTGAAGTCCAAGTTGAGAATAGTTTGAGATTTGTGGCCTTCGATGCTGTTTCACCCCAGCTCCCTGTGGGAGGAAGGCAGTTTCGAGCCACCCGTGGGAGCAGGGCTGCAGACCAGCTCTCTGGACCAGATGGGGAAAAGAAACCTGTAGGTTTTCTCATCCATCTTTGGTCTTGTGCAGAACCTTGACAGCCACACAGAGGGCTTGGGCCCCACTACGCCTTGCCTTTCTGTCCCTGGTGGGCCTGAACCTGGTGAAGGGATGTCCACCAAGTCAGACCGGCTGAGGGTCTCTTTCTATCCTGACAGGAGCAGTGTGGCTGGCTCAGTGAGGATCAGCCAAACCCGTGTTGGGCTGTGGTTCCTTGGTAAGGACCTGCCTCAGGTCTCTTGGGAAGTGGCAAGTGGAGGAGCATGGCATGATGGAGGCGTTCAGCTGTGGTCACTGCTGTGGGCATTGAAGACCCAGGAGCAGCTGGATGAGCCCTTGGGAGTTGTCAGTGGAGGCAGGGCCAGCACAGTGGGTGCAGGTCGAGGTGTACCTGGGCTGGTCTCCACTGAGCTGTGGCCTTGGGAAGCGTAAAGATTCTTGCTCCAGAATCCGGTCTGCATATATACATAGAGCATCAGACATGTGTGTGTGTGTGTTTGTTTGTTTGTTTTGCTGCTGGGGGTGGAACTGTGGACCTTGCGCTTTCGAGGCAGGCACCAGAACCACTGAGCCCCTGGCCCATCAGACTTGTGTTGAAGGTGATTCTTTCCAAACAGGAGTTGAGATATAAGCAAAAGCCCTGTTGGATGATGCCAGAACCCTAAGTATAAATGCGTCTGGTTGTGGTCCATTCTCGCAAGTGCTCAGATTGCCCTTGGAAGTCTGGAGGCCAGGGCCCCAGTGTGTCCTGTCAAGCCAACCTGGAGTTCTCTGGAGGTCCATTCTGTGTACCTGGCTGCACAAGGGCCTTTGCACATGAGAGCAGTGCTGGAGCCGCTGCTGCGGGTTCTCCTGGGGTAGCGGCCGTGGGCTTAGCTGTGTAGACTTCATTCTCAAGCCAGTTGGACTGAGGAAGGCAAAGTAAGGACCGGTCAGTGTTTATTCTCAGAAGAGACTGATAACCAGTGCAGCAGGGGAAGGGCCTCACACAGCTTCACGCAGCACCTTGACATTGCGCTCGACGCTGCTGTGGCTGTCACTGAGCACTGAAGACTTGCGCAGTCCTGGAAGCAGGGGACTTGTGAGTGGCAGCACAGAACGAGGATGTGGGTGTGGTTAAGGTCACATAGGTGAGCCTGGCTTGGTAAGGGGGTGGGCTGCCGGGTTTAAGAAGTGAATGACATTGGAGCCTTAGGCCACCTAGAGTGGGAGGCCAGACTGTGCTGGGCAGTCGGCGGCCAGGCCCTTGGAGGCCTCACAGGGGGACTGTGAGGCAGGGTTGCGTGCGCAAGGCTAGAGATTGTGCCGTGGAGTGCCTGGCAGGTCCCCCAACACAGAGAACCCCATCTTGTTCCCGGGCTGACTCCATGTGGTCTGGCCGGACATGAGATCCAGCATGGGCATGGTTGTGTGAATGTGCTACTGTGACGGTGGTTTAAGAGTTTTTCTTCTTTACCTTAATCTTTTTTTTTTTTGGTACCGGGGATCAAACTCGGGTCCTTGGGCTTGCGCAGTGGGTGTCGAAACCACTGAGCTAAATCCTCAGCCCTCTTTACCTTAATCTTTAAAGTTCATAGGTTAGAATTCATTAACAGTACTCTCTAGTACTCCCAATCAGTTTGTCCTGTCTCCCCCTCAGTCAGGCACATTAGTGGGTAGCAGGAGGGGTCCCCAAATCAGCTCCGGCCCTGAGCTTGTAGCAATTTCCCCAAGTGACTCAGGCCTTAATTTTAAAGTTTTGAAAAATCTAGGCCAGAGTGGCCATACTGACATGGTACTTGTCCACGTTTCCTGTTGCCCTTAACCCCAAGTCAGCTCCTGTGGGGAGTCCATGGTTACTTTGGTCATAAGGGACAGTGCTATTGCTGCTGCCTGTTTCTCCATCTCCGACTGAGGGCTCACACCCAACACAGAGCCCACTGTTCCCAATTTGAGAAGCACACGGGGCCCACCTGGGGTCTCACCATCCACAGTTCCCTGGAGGCAGAGTCACCTGCACCCTCTCACTTTGCAGAATAGTTTTTGGTCCTTCCCACAAAGACTTTCAGGGTTTCTTCCCATAGGACAATGTTATGTCCTGGATTCTGTGTCCCCAGGGGGTTAGGAGGGACTGAAGGACAGATGAACTGCAGCTGCAGCGTTACCAGGACTCCTGTGAAAGGACGTGTACTCTGGCTGTCTCAGAGCTCAGGAGCCCAGATGCCCGCATTCTGCGTGCTGATGGCAGCACTTACGTGGGTGCAGGGAGGGTGGGGTCACCCACAGGACGGTCTGATGATTTCGCTCCCAGATGTTGAGATCTGAAAGCATCGGCCCTAGGCATTCCGTCCTCGGGCCCCTGGAAGACTTGTGCTCAGCAGGTCTGCGAGCAGGGCTTTCATTTCTGCCCTGAGAAACTTGCCAGGCGTTGGTAGTGCCAGCCAAGGTGTAAAAATTTTGACTTTTTCTGGTTGGGAGGTAAAAGGAACTGAGTATTGAGAAGCGAATTTTAAAAAAGAAGGGAATAACCTCTGTGTTTTCTTCCCTGTTCTCTCCCTTTCTGTCTTGTATCAGCAAAAGCTGGCAGGCTGACGGAGGCGGCCTCAGGACGGACTTTCTGGCTGTTGACCGTTTTGCTGGTAAGTCTGACAAGGTTGGGTTTCTTTAGCCCCAGTGTTCATCTTTGGTACCTGTGGACCTCGCCATGGCAGCGTCCCTGCTCCAGCAGTCTTGAGACCTGTGCCCCCTAGCTGTGACCTCTGCTTTCTCTTTTTCTTCTTTTTTGGGTTGATGTCAATTGTGTTTGGTCAGAATTATCCTAATTGGAATGTTGCTTGACACTTTTGGGATGCACAGTTTAGTTTTCTGAGCTTGGGAAGAAGTCTTGTTATGTTGTAAAAATTAAGCAAAAACTCACTTCTTTAAATTACTTGCCAGTGTTATACTTTTTGCCAAGTTGTTGCAAGAAAGACAATTTGGTCCATAGTTGGGTGAAGACAATGGGGTCTTCCATGTCCTGGTAGTAGCAACTGCGGAAGAGAGGGAGAAGCCAGACTCTTACCTCAGATTGCTGAACTGCAGCCCATCCTCCAAATAAGGGAGCTGTGGCCTCCAGGGTTCAAGTTCCACGGAACGCATTGGCTGTCCTAACTGAGGAACTCTGCCCTGAGCCAGGTTCCCCCTAGAGAGTGAGTCCCTCCCACACCTGGGAGTCAGAAAGGAGGAAAATGACCAGTTCACAGGTGTCAGGGACACTGAGCATACCGTGTGGCCTGTTGTGTTGTTACTACAAAGCACTTTGACACTGCCTCTTCCCGCCGTGCCAGGGACCCTGAAGTGTTTCTGTTTGGGCCCCAGTGAGCACCTTGTCATCCAGGTTGGCTCTTTGCACAGACTGTCATGTAATAGATTTTGGTAAGCATCAGGAGGCCTGCAGTGAGCAAATTCACAAAATAA